ATGTTTATGATGTTGATGATGATGTTGGTGGTGGAGGTGGAGCGTACCGTCGTACTCTTCGTGGGCATTGGCTGGACCAGTGACCTGGCACTCCACAGGAGTGACAGGCCACTGGGCGATTCGGAATTGTCACTAAGATTGTAATTGTCTCGGTCTCTGTCTCTGTTTTTCTTAGTCCGACTGTCACGTAATGCGGCATGCCTTCGTCGGTGTCGTACTTGGCGAGAATTAGATATTTGTCGGCGTTTGTATTGCTTCGTTGTGGTATTATTTTTATAGGTTTTTCGTCGTCAAGGAAGGTGTGGCAAATGTCTTTTGTAGCGTCGAGCGGAAAAGAAGGAGGAATCCATGATTGAAAAAATTCTTTTTTTCTCTCGTGTGAGTTTTTCCATGTGTGCTTGTGTGTCTTCATCGATTTGGAAATGTTGATCATGGATGAGTGTTTCTTCTACGTTGTCTGTGAATGTAATGTAGGCTTTAAAGGATGTAATGTTGCGGTATACCTTTATGATGTCTTTGTCCTGAAGTCCAAAACGTGTGATGATGTGTTGCTTCAATAGGTTGTCGTCTTTTCTTCCTGCTCCTCTTCCTGTTAGATGAATGATGTATGTATTTGGTCTATGTTGAACAAGTTCTGGTCGGTCAAGGGAGTTGATGTGCGTGGAGAATTTCATTTTTGTCGGTCGGGATCTGTAAAGATAAAAGAAAAAAATCAAAGAACCAGGGTCTGTACTGCTGTGCCCACAAGGGGCCGCAAAACACCTACAAAAACGTTCAACAGCTGAGGCTCTCTGTATGTTCACTCGGGCATAATTCAAAATTTCCTTCCAACTGAAAAATGTTTCAAGTGTCCCTCGTGCTCAATGACCTTATATGCAGTTGCGAGCGCCGTAAAACTCTTACAACCCCCCCCCCCCCAACCAAAAGAACCTTTGTGTTCTTTTGGCCCCCCCCCCCCTTTCCCAACAACAACAAAACCCAACATGACCATTAACGAGATAAGCAGCAACTGACCACGTGTTCGTCATGCTTTGACCTATCAAATGTGTGTTAACTACAGTAAAAGGAGAAGTAAGCATGATAGTGAGTAGCATTTCGGGGGCAACACAATACTTTGAGTGACACAGATAATTCAGTAAGGTAACAAGTTCTTGAGATTTTGTCTCAGGGCCTATTTAAATCAATTTTATTTTGTTTTTGCTGTGATAATAAGAGGGAAGGGACGCACAGGCAGAAACCTGGCAAAAACTGAGCAACGAAGAATGCAACTCACTACGGTAGATCCGCAGAGAGAAAATGGACGGTAGTTTAATTATTAGCCAAGGAGTTTAGAACTAATGGAGCCTCCTCTCTCTCTTCGCGGCGCCACGAGCAGTACGCCGCGGTGGGGATCAAATATGACCGCCGACTGTGGG